GCATCAGTAAGTGGTTTTCCATTCCTTTTGGCTCTGGAAGYGGATATTCACAGTTGGGTGAAGTTCATTTTAATCCTCACAAAACCAGAGCTGGATTTGTACAAGTTGTCATTGTTCTGGTTTAGAAACACTCTGTGCCTTCTGGATTCCTTTATCCCTCCCAGGGGCTAATCCACGAGTTTGCAGAACACTCAGGGTGACTCCAGTTGCAGGATGGAGGGGCATCCAGTGTTATCTCCCTTTCCTCCTGCATTGCCTTCTACCACTGAGTCCAGAAAGGCACAGTAGTGTTTGGAGCATGCACTTTCTGATGTGTACAGATAGTGGGATGTAATTACCTTCCTCTGAGGTACAGTCATTATACTGCCTGTAAAGAGAGAGGGTCACAGTCCTAATGGGAAATGATTTTAAAGCAATCTTGACCAAGTCTAGTGGAGCCATTTCAGAGCACTTAAAMCTCAGCCAGTCCTTCATGGCACTTGTGATATGTCCACTTCATGCAGCGAGAGGCAATGGGACTARCACTTGTCGAGGGATAGAGAAAATCCATGATAAACTGCAGCATTGACTTTGGGCAAGCGTTGTGTGCTGCCACGGGGGAAAGGCGCCGTCAGAGCCCAGGCTTGATTATTATTGTTCTTGATCCTGATTTGGAAAAACGCAAGGCTCTCACAGAAGCAATAAGCCAGTAGTCATGAAATCTGCCACCTTGGGTTTCCTGTGCTACAAGAGCTGGCCCYCAGCCCCCAGGCTTGATTCCTGCAGAGGCAAGAGGTATTTTCCCATTTCCCAAGCAGTAGCTGGGAAAATAGTGATACAGTCCCCAAATCAGAGCCAGATCACTGGTGGATGTGCTGTTGGTTTACCTKGGCAGTTCAGACCTCAAAAATGAACAAGACAAATTTGGGTAGAGGTTGCTTAATAGGAAATACTGCCTTGTGTTACAAGATTTTAGAGAAAGACAGGCTTCAGCATGCTTTGGTGTGTGCTGGGGTTGTGCTCTGTAGCAAGGTGAGGAGAAAGATTTCAGCAGAGCTGATGGAAGGTGGCAGTCAGCAGTTGTAGGTCATATTGAGGGGCTCTGGCAGGTCTGTTGGGATCAGCCCCGGACTAAAAAGCAAACACCACTTCACATAAGCGATTTTCTGTATTTCAGTCCTTTACAGAAGCACAATARCCCTGGCTGTGCAGGTTAGCAAAGCTGTAAGCTGGTACCCAGGAGAGCAAGAATAACTCGTAGTGAAATGCTCCATGTCTGATTTTCATCCTTTGAGCTCTTCTGTAATGTTATTGGAAAACAAAAATTGTTTAAATAATGGAACAGACCCGATGAAATTGTGCAGTGATGCAGAAGGGGTTGAGGAAGGGTTATTTCCTTTCTTTCCATTACTTTTCTCCTCCTGCCTTGCCTCCCAAACGTGGGTGGAATCTACATGTCAGGCGCTAGCGACATCAGCCTGGCCCCGTGGCTTTTCTTAATGGCAAGAATGAGATTAAATGCAATTAACATCGATTGAACAAAAACTGCCCTCGGTTTGTATGTGGATTAATTAACAGCCATCCTTTCAGCAGTAGCCCTTTGCAGAGCCGTGTTTGTTCCTCCTGGCCCCGGTATTTTCTAGCACATGTCCAAAATCAAAAACCCTGAGCTTGTTCCCTACTGCAGTGTCTGGGGTTACCAGCTCAGCGGGGACATGCAGCCCCCCAACCGGGATGATTTTTTGTGCAGTCTGCTGACTGCAGAGCTGCTCAGTCAGTAGCAAAATATTTCCTGTTAAGCAAGGCTAATGACGGGAGCTCTCTGCGAGTTAGAACAATGATCAGAACAATTGTCTGGAGGAAATCAATGTTATAATGCATGAACAAACAGGTGAGTCTCAGAACAGCTGGAGATTAGTTGTGCTGGTAAATAACTTCGTATTCGGGTGATGCAGAGCAATGGGGAGGCGTCAAGGCAGAGCRAAGCAAGCAGTGTGTAGGCTCTTGTGAGCCCAAGGAGAGGGAGGAGGAAACCAGAAAGACTGTTTCTGTTCCTTGCTCTCTGTTGGTGGGGTATGTAGAGCAGGAGACTTCCACGTGAAAGCACTTTCCGGGGTGTTCTGACAATGCGTCTGGTGAGTTTTTTGAAAAGCGCCTTTTCTGCTGTCAAGCCAGCTTTGAAGACACCATCTGGGGAAGTAGCCAAGAAGTCATTGGGTGAACTTCTCTGCTTTGCAAAGTTATTAACACCAGTACAGAGAGGAGGGAAAACAAAACTCTCTTCATAGCTTTTTGAATTAATGTTTTTTGTTGCTGCCAGGCATGCTCCTGCCCTTCCTTATTCCAGTCCCAAGGACAGCAACTGTTGGACTCCTGAAGGATGAGAGAGACAGAGAGGCTTTTCTGTGCAATAACTATATGGCACAGAAGTGCTGTGATCCATTAGTCAGCACAGCTGCTCCACAAAATAGCCAATACCCTGAGTGTAACAGGACAAATTGCACATAACCAAAAAATACCTACAGCATACATCAAACCAAAGTGACTCAAATGTCCCTTGCAGAGCTTTGGGGTGCTAATAGCCCTGCAACAAATGCCTCATCCACTGTAAAGGCCTTGAACACCCATCTTAGGGCAGGTCAGGATTTTTGTATTTTGTTTGTGCCTCTTTCCACACTAACTGAGATGAAAAAGTTGTGCGGTCACGTTGCTGAGGTCTGCTGTGTGTCAACAGGTATTGTGGTGTTGAGAGCTGCCTGCACACGGCAGGGAACTAGGAACTATGGAGATTAATTTCTACTTTGTCACTGACACTCCAAATGCACCGAGTCATTTATCATGGGGATCTGCTTTCTGATTTCTTCATAGCTACACAGTGCCCATATGTGTGAGCGCCGTGGTGCGACTGCTTAAAGGGATGTTAGAACAAAGGCAAGGCGCGTGCTGGAGGAAACTTGCAGGGTTTACCCTGTGAGACTAAAGGCTGGTTAAATAAATATGTCTTAACACAGCTGAGGCTTGGCAAAYAGTGTCTCTGGCAAACAGTGAGGGAGGAAGTTCTTCAGGGTCTGGCTTTTCAAGGAGGGAGATTCCTCTGCTGGCTGGGAGCCCCCAGTGAGGCTGAGAGCCGAGGCACAGAGCTGGCCAGCGACTGGGGGAGGTGGAGAGGATGCTGCAGATTCACCAGGCAGCCCCCAGCTTCAAGCTGGGATGCAGACTGAGAAAGAAGGAACAGGACAGAGGAACGGATGCATTAGAAAATCTTACTGAAACTTRCTCGCCCCAGTGCTGGGTACCAAGGCCTCAGCTCTCTGTTAGAGAACAAGGACCGCACTGGGCATTGACTGGACTCCCTTCTCAGCAGGGGTGAGATTTGTGGAGCAAATCTTGCAGAGCTCAGCCCTTCCTCCTCATTCAGCTGGAACCAGAACCGGAAAGCTACTGGCTTTCCCACAGGGGCTACAAAGTGGCAGGCTGTGTCAGCTGAGCAGCCCATTTTGGCTGCATTTAGTTCCCAAGCAGGGTCCCATAGTGGTGGAAGAACATGAGTTAGTGGCTCCAAGGTCCYGTTTGCCGTGAGAGGCATGGAAGAAAACAAGTGCTGTATGGCCTCCAGCTGGATTTGCTGTCAGGRCTGAACAGATTGCCATTCCTGTTTGTGCTGATGAGGAATTTGCCTTTGTGTGGACACTGTTTTTCATGTGTAGAGGTGCTGGGCTGGAGCTCATCAAGACTGGAACCTGGTGTCTACCTGCATTGTTGGAAATGACCTGCCCTCCCTGTGCAAGACGGGCACCCCTCCCTCTCATGAGGCTGAGTGTGCARTGCACTCTCTAAGGCTGCTCCCCTCCTGAGGTGTTGTTCTGCTAAGACTGCAGCAGAGACCAGCTAATACCATCTGGAGGGCAGTTAYTTTATGAGGAGACACCAAAACTTCAGTCTGAACCTCAACTCCATTAATTAAGCCTGTTGTGTTACAACAGCGATTGCAAACTGCCTGGACTTGTTGCATATTCCCCTTGTCTGGTGCATATGCCATGATATGGGCATGGAGAAGAAGGAAAGCTTCTCCTTTCCTTTATTGGCTCCTTCTGCTCAAGGTGAGTGTTGTAGCATCCTGGCAGCACTTGCAGGGAGGATTCCAGGTTGGGAAAGTGAAGGGGTGCTAAGTCTGTGTTGGCATGGTTGCAATGGTAAGTGGAGTTAAAATGTGGGCAAAGAATRGGTTTAGGCTTAGAGATATGGTGTTCTTCAGCCCATCAGTTCTGTGTAACTATGATATTTTTTAATGGTTTTTAAAAAAGAGGTTTTACTGTCTTCCAGAAGGGTTAACCACAGAATAGCCACAGAAGAGATTTTTTTTTTTCTCACAAGAGGTAGCATTCCTGGATACTTCACTGAAGTGCTACAATGTGAATACAGCAAATTACTTCATTGCAAAATTGATCGTGAGTTGTTACTGSTTCACTCATTGCAATTTCAGTGAGTGCTATTGGAGTTTTTAAAATATATTGCTCTGTGCATAACTTTTAAGTGACTAATCATGAGAAAAAATACCTGGGAAATTAGAATCAGTGGAGTATGCTCTTATGTTGATCTTGTTCCAGGACGAGTGAGCAGTGTGTGTGTGTGTTTGATAGCAGCTAATCAAAGTGCTCCCGTGTCCTGTGATGCAGGATTTAGTGTGGGGCTGCTCTTACTGCTGTGACCTCGCTGCTCCAAGGCTTACCTGGAATCATGGCTGTTCTCTCCCACTGGATTTAGGATCATAATCATTGTAACTGATCGTTTGTTCTCGATCAYAGAATCAGCCTCACCTTTGGTATCATGAGCTGCTTTCTTGCTTCCACAGTCCTCTCCCCTTGAGTATCTTGTGTTTTACAGAAGATGAAATCTGATGATTTTTCTGTGGGATTTCCACCCTGCCAATGCTACTCTTTCATTTCTGATGGAAACATTCCCATGTCAACAGCTGCATAACCAGCTTTCTGCCTTTTTCTTTTGTCTCTTTCTTTCTCCAGGACCTGTTAGTTAATTCTGGATAAACATCATTCGCCAAAGAGCAGAGGATAAGGACCACAGACGCCCTTGGAAGCCCCAGCATCCTTCTGGACAGACACTGACCTAAACCAGTGCCTTCTGCCCTCCATGACCCAAGACAATACAACATGATTCCTCTTCTAACTGCCTGCATGTGTCAGTCTCGGTGGACATTCCTGGAGCTGGGAGAAGGGTCGCAGGAGAGGGGGATGCTATAGTTTCTTTTTATGGTTTTGCAATGTAAAGAATTATGTTGACCCCAAGTGCTTCCAGCACAGTTTGGGGTCTTGCCTGACATGAGCCTGGTTTCACCCTGTTGTAGCCCTGATTTCACCAACTTAGGTCTGAGTTTCGAGAGCTGTTGCCTCTGTTTGTTTGCTCTGGGGAAAGGGGTCTGAAGTTTTTGGAAGTAACCCTGACTAGCTTGTTAGGATTAACTGTTCCTAGCATGCTGCCATTGGTTACACCAGTGGGTGGATTCCTTCCCTCCCAAGGTTCCCTCCCAAACAATAAAGTGTCTAACGGTCACTGTGTGCTGAGATACTTTCAGTCCCATGAGTTTGTAAACTGCTGTTTTCTGCCTATTGCTGATGCCAACAAAAACTCCAAATGAGCGTGAGGAATAGAAATATTTCAAGTCACGGTTTATAAATCACAAAACTTGTTCATTTTGGTCCCAGGATGACTGGCTTATTTGAAAGTACTTGGTACAAAGTCCTGGCTGAAGGGAGYTGGTGGTGGGGAATCTTACAGGAAAACCTTTGCCTGCTGGATGCAGAGCCCAAGTTATATTACTTTTCACCAGTTTGCAGTTCCTGCTTTGTCTGCTGTAAACCACCATCCTTTTCAGCCTTGTGCTCTATGTTGAGCCCTCTCCTTGAAGCATGGAGGAAGATGGGTGCCTCTGCAGTGTTACCCTCCCAGAGGTAGGTGTGGCAGAGTTGCAAAATGCGTGCCAGTAACCCAGGGGAGCAGGTCTAGTTTGGTAACTTGATTTCCTTTCTCTGGGTAGAGCTTCTATGGCAACATTAGCTGCCTCTGTCCTCTCTGACTGCATCTGACAGTTTTTGAAGAATGTGAACATGGATTTTTGGAGGTCGTGTCAGAGTTTAAATGCAGTGTTTATGAAAATGGATGAAGGGGGCTGAGAATTGTTTTCTGTGTTATATTCTGCTTCGTCTCTTTTTTCTTTAGACAGCAACTTAGTGCTTTACATCTTCATTAAAGCAACAAAATGCCTTTCCTTCTTGTTGAGGGCTGATGCCACAACACTTTTCATCCTCAGAAATGATGTTTGCGTACCTCGTGGCTTATCTCTGTTAGTCTCAGATCTTGCAAAAATTCCAGCTCTKCGTCTTTGTGTAGGTCAAATTTGCTGTCCCCAAGGGAGGAAGAGCAGGTTTTCCAAAACCAACTAGGACCCTTAGTGCCCTCAAATCTGTTAGAGCAGGATCAGGTGGGCTTTTGCTGCTGTGGCCATGCCAGTTTTTGGATTTTCTTTGGGATAACCACAGAATTTTTGACTCTGAAGGCAGAGATACAGMGCACCAAGGTCTATCCCTGAGCAGGGATATTGGAATTACTGTTGGTCTGAAGAGAGAAGTGTGTATTTTGTTGCTCCCTCATTTTCCTCTTGCCCCTGTCCAGCATTGCCTTGGCATGAGTAATTTGCATGTCATTATTTCAGCTGCCCTAAATTGGGGGGGGGACTGTGATGCCAGGGCTGATTATTTGGCGGCACTGGGCAATTTTCTCTGTTAGGCAACTGTAATACATTTTCATGTTCTTTTRTAATGAGCTTTATTTACCAAATTGGCAATTCCTCTGTTGAGAAATAACTGATTACAGCATTCAGGGAGTTGCTGTCATCTCAAGATACGCAGGTGTCTGTGGAACATAAACAGATGTGATCATTCAGACAGTGAACTCGATGGAGGGTAGGGGGGAAAAATCAGCCATAAAATCATAAATGTAACAGCTACAGCTAATGCTGGCCAGGTGCATTGCGGCTTTTTGCAGCCCAACAAGGACAAAGTGGTACTTGAAGGCCATCCAGTACCTCCAGATGAGGGACTGCTGGATTGTTAGCTGAAAATGYACCTCTTGCCTGTCATTGCACTTTGATTCTGCCTTGCCTAACTCTGTCTCTGAAAGTCTCTTGGGACAGACATTCATTYGTGGGGCAGCCTTGAAATGAGAAGCTCCTGTGTCCTGCTGTGTTGGGTTTGATTTGTACTTTGTACTCAATGGCTACAAACTTCTTGGTGATCATATCCGAGGGGACTGTGGTCCTTYCAGGCAGTCCCTTTCCTTTGGTGTTTCCTAGGGCCCAGGAGCAGTTTTTTTGCTRCTCTTGCCCTAATCACCAGCTCAGGTACCTGAGCCTGGGGGAGAATATGATCACCAGAGATGTCAGTAGGAAACTGCTGAAGATGAAGTTCAGTTGCAGAGTCTCAGCTGCTATCCAAATGAAAACTGTGCAGGTAACAGAACTTCTTGAGTGAATGTTTTCTCTTCCCCCTCATCTATGCTGCTCCTGTAGTACCAAGGCCCTTGCAAAGAAGGAAGAAGCCCTGAACCTTCTCCTGGCCTCCCTCTCTTTATGTTTGTCCTTGACTGCTTGTTTGATATTCGGAGCAATTTTTTTTTCTGTGCCAGATTGTGACAGCAGGTGTCAGTTATGCTCCAGAGTGGCAGAGATCATTATTCCTGGAGCCTGGTGCCCAATGTTGAATAGATGTCTTAACCACACCACTCCTGCCACAGYTGGCAGTAATGGGCAGCTAGGACAGCAGGATAAACAAGGTCTGAATCCATTGTTGAAGCTGAATTAGAGGCAGTTTCCTCCAAAGGCAGCTTCAAGGTGGGGTAGAAGCAGCCGGCTACGCTGCTGTGCTGCATGTGCTGGATTTAAAGCTGCTTTTTGTGAGCAGGCATATCTGTGACCTGTTTCACTGACTGAAACCAAATCTGCCCACGGCCAGGTGCAGGTTTGCCTTCAGCTGAGCAGTGCATGTCCATTTTATCTGCCTGGTTATGGTGGTTCTCTGCAAATTGGGTAATTTTGTGTACAAATGCATCCGGTGAKTYGGATGCAATGTGCACAAATGTGGTRATTTCATGTGAAAATACAGCTTGTGGAGTGCCTGCTTCAAGAGTATGAATTGTTTTCAAACTTGCCAAATGAATGGAAAGAACAACCTTTTTATTCATGCATAATTTCTTAGCGTTGCAGGAAGGGAAAAGAACAGAAACAGTGAAGTTAGAGAAGATACAGGAAATAACAGCACTGTTAAAAATTTTCCAGTAGGCCTCAATAGCTTTTTAAATGAAACATTCAGCAAGCAGCACTCTGAGATTCCAGTGTGCAAGAACATCACWGGCGCTCTAAGCACCAAATTTGTGATCTTGCATAAAAACTCAACCCATTGCCTCCTGTTGTTAATATTTCACACTTGACTTTGCAAGATGCTTTATCTAATATCCTCTCTGCATTTAGGCAGCTACCTTCTCTGCCTTGTCCATAACGAGAGAGGCAGGAGGAGGAAGGCAATTGCCAAGTGTGTCTGTAATCTATGTAGGAGGGTTTTGTGTAGCTGTAGGGGGAGAAGAGTAACTCTCATTTCCTATTTTATAGTCTGCTGAATCCTGTGATCTCATGCTGTGTGCTCCTTTTCCAAGCAGAATTTTTCAATTTGTCTTTCAAGTTGTTGTTATTTTTTATTTCCAAACTGGTTAAAAGTGTTTGTCTGTAACTTGTTGATAAATTGTTTATGTCTGACTCCCTAAGGTGCTTCACTGCCAGTCTTGTATGTGTCTCAGGATCAACTTTTTCTGCTCTTGTCTTGTGCCCACCCAGCGAGCTGATGCATCCAGCACTGAAGTGTTATCAGCCTTATTTTGGAAACCAAAGGGCTGTTCCATGTCCTGTGAACATGTTCATGTGTTTTTTATCCTTGCACCAGGTGGATGTGATGTTCCTGAACAGGCTCACCTGCCTTGTCTGCCCCATCACTCTGCTCTTGGTGTGTCCTGGATTCTCCTCACTTCCCTGGTTCTCAGTTCCTTGGGGGATTGAGGGCTGATGTGGGCTGAAGTGATTGGGCTGTGTCACCTCTGTGCTGAGGCTGTTCAGGCCACTAATGCTGCCCCTCCAWCTCCCACTCTGGTGTGTAATTGTGCTGGCACAATGGTAGTTTTGAGCCTGGGGCAAAGCCAGAGGAAGCAAATGGAGCAGCCACTGGTCTCAGGAGAGCTCCCTGTCAAAAGTGTGTCTTGGATTTAATGACACGTGTGCTCTTCCAGACTTTTTATAGAGGTCAGAGCATGGCAGGAAACTTTCCTCTGTCATCTTCCTAGGGAGAGCAGCACACAAACTTTTCTTTCCAAGTTGAAATCAATTGTTCCCTCAGGGCAATGTAACAAACTGCTCCTGAAGCTGGTTTCCCCTTGTGAATGGCCTAAATTAGATGCTCTCCCTGGTTTCCCTCATTGGAATAGCTTGTGCTTTATCCAGCCATTTCATTTGTGCCATTTGCTACAAGATGTTGATAGCACTTGTCTGGTTCCTGCTGCCCTGTATTGTTCCCTATGGGAGCTATTGCATGGAAGGCCTGCTGTCCCAGGGAGTGAAGGAGAAGAGGCAGCAGGAACCTGAAATCTCATTTGGATTCCTACTTTGCATCCTCCTTTGTTTTCAGAAAGTGTGTTTAAAAATAATTTCTGGTATCTTTGGAGAAGATTTGATAATTGAAATGAGCTGAAACAAAGCGCTTTGGCTCACTTGGATTTTTTGAGGAGTTAGAATCTGTTCACCTCCTTATGGATCCCTGAAAGCAGAGTATCAAAACCCATTCTGAATATGAGCTGATACTGGGGTGACAGCTGTGGGGTAAGTTGTCTTCGTTCCCATCTACTGCTAACATTTCTGGCAAACTGGTGCTTGCRGTTCAGTCCTATGCACTTTCTACTGCCTGGTCTACAGAATTTTTTAAAAAGTTACCTTCAGCACTTAAAGCTGGAAAACATTTCAGAGTCAGCCAGACACTCCAGCTGTGCCCTCTGCGTGTGTGTCTGTGCATGAGCAGCTCTGCTGGAGCCTCTGGGTGGGCATCTCCTCCCTGGCAATGGGGCAGAGCTTTTGTGTTATTTAGTCCTTGAACTGTCTGAGTTAATCTCTGTAATGGCCAACAGTGGAGGGCATGAGTGGCACTCCCTCAGCAGGAGTGAAAAGGATGTTATTTTTCCCCTCCTGTGACCTCTTGAACATCCCTCCGTACCCATTTTCTTGGTGATGGAGTCCATCCTCATAGTGAGTTTGACTCTTTTATTTTCTGTGAATGGGGAGTGCCACTGTAAGTCAGGATTAGCTAAACATAACATTAAAAATAAAGCACGGCTATTAATTTAATGGGTTCCTCGTTACAACCATCATAAAACAAGTAAACAGGAACTCTGCCAGTGCTGCCTGCAGTCCTCCTCCAAGTGGCTGAACCAAGGGAGAGATTTGAACTCTTGCCATTTGATAAAGCCATGTGCGAACATGGCTTTTTAAAAATTAATTCTTTACTTTTCCTTTAGTAGCCTTTCAACTGCTGAAGAAGCCTGGCCAGTGCCTGCAATGAAGCTTTGTGGCTCTTAATGAGACAGAGGGGAAATGCCASTTCAGGACTTAGCTTAAATCATATCTGCCAAAATAAAAGCTTAGAAAAGGCAGAGAAATTCTTCTTTGTGGACTGCCTCACTGAAACAGYCTTCATAGTCCCTTTAATCTTTATTTACTTATTTTTCTTTTGCAAAGGAAAGTAAGTAAGTTTTGTGTTGAGACTTTTCCCCTCTGTTCTTTACCTTCCAGAGTGTTGTTGCCAACTAATGGCAACTTCCTTGGATTGGAATTTATTGGATTAAATGGATCACACTGTGGATCTGTGGTGGCCACATAGACTGAGTGCCTGCTCCCAAGCACAGTTCTGTCACTGCATCTCAGTGGGAAGGCACACAGGGGTGTCCAAACAGTGAAAGCTGAAAGCAGTGGAGTTATTTGTGTGCTGGGCTTCTTCMAGACTTAAATCAGGTGCTTGTGCAGTGCTGTGGGGTCTTAAAGAGGTTACAAAAAGAGAAAATACTCCTCCGATTGTTTGAAGACTCCATTCTAGTTATTTTATATAGTGCTTTCTGGTGTCCTGAAGTTTACATTCCCAAACTGGAGGGTGGTTTACAAAACTGAATATCCACAGCAATATATTTAATATATTTCATGGCTGCTTTTCCTAACCTGCTAAGGAAATCCAGCTGTGCAACCTCAGTGCCAGCTGYTGATTCCACCCAGCCGCTGCTTGGCCGCATTGCCCAGTGCCAGGAAAAAGGAACTCTGCTTTTCCTGGAAGGAAAGGGTTGCCATTTACTCTGTGGCTAAACAGATAAAAAAGAGCATTCATCCTTCAGAGTCTAAGCTGATTATCTTGGTGAAAGTACCCTCAGCCAGCATGGTTTGGCTCCTCAGCTCCTCAAAAAACAAAGCAGTGCCCTCTTCGGAGGCTGCAGGCGGTCCTGAATTGTTCCCTGCTGATCCAAAACTCAAGGACTTTTATTTAAGGCTAATTTCAGGCAATGAATGTGATTAGATCTCTCTAGGTTGTAGKAATCCTATGTTGAGGTGGCAGTGCCAAATTTGGCGTCAGGAGAAAGTGAAACATTTTCTTCATAGTGACTGATGGGCAGATGTTTCAAAGTGTGGTTCTGCTGGGCAAAAAAACTTCATTCAGCAGTGCAAGGAATTGCACAGGAAAAAGGAGATCCACATGCACACCATAAATTGAAGGTGATCTGATCACATCATTCTTCTGACTGTGAACTTGGTCACTGCCAACTTGTGCTTACCTTGTGGGATTGCTTGGGAGGTCCAGTATCAGCTCTCTGGAAAATCCAAGTGCACCCATTACAGGGAAGTTTTATTAAGTGGTGCTCAAGAGAATTGTGCTCCAGATCTCCTCACAGTGACTCCTGAGACTGGGAGCTCTAACACTGCTACAGACCTTGCAGCACTCCCGAGCAGGCAGATGACAACATAATCACAGCTGTTCTCAGGAGGGCAGAATTCTGCCATTCTCAACTTGAAAGAAAATTGGATTTTAATGARGAGTACAA